GTCCTTTTGGTTATGTAAACGGCCCAACACCTAAGAAATGGAGTCCCAAGTAAATTGAGTTAACCAATTACTGTGTTATAATGAATCTCCATACACCTTAGCTTGTTTGAGCTGAGAATTTCATGCTAGCAAATAGCACGTCTCATGTGTTCATTAAGTTACAGCAGCCCTACAAAACAGCACTTTTACAGAGCTGATGAACAGATGTAAAAATAAGCGTCACCTTTCTGTGAATGGGTTGGGAGCAGTCACATTGTAATACTCAGGTAAAATGCTTTAACTGAGTTGATTATAGCCACTTAACAGTAAAGGAAAGAAAACCCGGGGGGTATAAATAACCACAGGAGAGATAATTTGGGTGATTCATTTTAGTTCAGTTTGTTTTCTTCTGTGTCGACTAGAATTGGAGAGCTGACCCTGAGACTCCAAGTGTGCAGGTTGAGGAGACTGTGCATTGGAGAAAGGAGAAGATGAGGAAATAATTTGCCCTAATCTCAATCTTATCTCCTACCTCACTCAACTTTTGATGGGGGACAGGGATGGATGGAAGCCCAGATCAGTGAGGCTAATTTCTGTACTCATAGGTTTTCTCCTTTGGCCTTTCCCACTTCTTCCATCAGCTCTTCACCGATGCTGATACGGCTGATTAACCTTCCCAGCACATCTCTACATTTCCAAATTGAAATTGATGGATATTCACAATTTATAAGGGACATACTTTTGAGCTACTTGCTTCTGATCGTTTTCTGTTTCCCCAGAAATTTCATCTTTCCAAAAGATGATTGGGAGGAGAGTAAGGTCATGGATAAAATAATCTAAATTCAATGTGCCTCTACCTCTCTCTCCCACCAAACATCTCTTGGACGTTGTGGTAGCAGGGCACGACCTCTGAGTCCTGACAGGTACAGTGGGAGGGGGCAGCATGAACACAGACCATTGTAACTCTGCACCCCATGAAGACCCTTCCTTTGCCTCCCTGGCTGGCTGCCGAGATGTCTTCAGGTGGTGGAGGTCTTGAGGCTGATACCGGGTCCACTTCCAGTCTGTGTGTGACTGTGTACATTGTGAGAAGTCCTGTGGCATAGAGTTGAGCATCACTGTTGCTTGTGGAGGTGACCGTGACAACATCCTCTGTGCTCCCACGTGGCTGGTGCTGCCCTCAGAGCATGGGCACGGGTACAGCTTCTCAGTGACCTGAGCCTTGTTGTGCAGGAAGCTCTCTGCTGCTGCTTTAAGGAGGTGTGGGGCCCATTAAAGTATCCTTCACATTCTCAAGGTGATGGGATTAACATGCAAATGTTCCTCTGATTTTTAGTAAATTGATTTGGGGAGATTTCTATATAATTTCTTTAGTTTACAGGCACAATTTGCATTTTAGTTCTCCCAAAGAGCATGATGTTTCTCTTGTGTTTTTATATCTGTTTGCTTCCATATTGCTTCTCTTTGTTTCCACTGTTTACCCCCTATTCCTCAAGGCATGAAGTGGGCTGAAAATTTTTTTCTGAAGTATTCTTCGTTTATTACAATTACGAAATGGAAGTGTCTGGTATTTATATTTACAGGCATAATTCCCCATATTTTGGACTCCCAAAGGCTTGTTAAGTAATTTAAAACACTTGGGATGTGAACAGATTTTAACTAGAAAATAGATTTCTACCGTTTAATTCTAGCTGTGGGAGTTGAAATGGAAAACCTTAATAGCCTGCAGACCTAAACTCAGATAATTGCTTGTGCATGTTCTCCATCTGAAAGCCTTGTCCTCCTGCTCATGTGTGTACACGTGCCATGCCGGTGGCCAGGCACAGGGTGAAATGGATCCAGGAGAACATGTGTCCTCAAGGTTAAATTCTGGCATTGACTCCAGAAGCACATTGCAATGAAATCATAAGGAGCAAATTTCCTGTAATAGAACAAACACATGGAAGAATACTAGAACCTAAGGATGTTTTGTAGAAATTTAAAGGTGGTGGTGGAGGGTGTGTCTGTATTTTAAAAGTTGCATAAGCTGTTTTTCTTCGTCTGTCCCAGGGTTGTCAGTGACAAATAAATGAGGCTGGGAGTAACCAGACATTGTACATCTAAACCAACATTCTCCTCCCAATTGAAGAAATGTCAAAATTTGTACTGATAAAGGATTTAGCTTGACAGCTGGTTTTTAATGTTATCCACATAGCTAGAATTTTCTTGAAAGCCAATAATGACATTCTTTTGGTATTTTAAAGTGTCTTACTTTTTAAATTATTATTATTAGCATATTCATTATTACAAATCATGATTTTTCTTTACGCCCTTTACCTGACCCATCAGGTCCCAAACTCCCTCCCTCCTTCCATCCCCCCCCCATCTCTAGTAACCATTGGTTTCTTCTGTCCTTCTGAAAGTTCAAGGAATTGTTGTAGTCTTTTCTGTTTCTTTGTTTCTTCGCACCTAGTTATAAGTGAGAGCATGTGGTATTTATCTTTCCTTGTCTGGCTTAATTCACAACATAATTTTCTCCAGACTCATCGAGGTTGCTGCAAATGGCAGAATTTCATTCTTTTTTATAGCTGAGTAGTATTCCATTGTGTACATGTATCACATTTTCCTTATCCAGTCATCTGTCGATGGGCACTGAGGTTGGT